GGCCCCAAAACGAGGGGAGCAACAGTCCTGCCTCACAGCTCACAAGCCTCTGGTGCTTTGTGGGGCAGCCAGCCCTACCACAAGGCAGAGGGCTTCTCACCTCCATGTCTCTGATACCTCAGAAGGTCCGGTAGGTGAGGAACTCCTTCAGCTTCCTGGGAATGGGGAGTGCAAGGACCTGGTATGTGGTCAGGAAGGTGCGCAGAGCTTTGCGGCACAAGTGCTTGAGTGATGAGAGGACTCTTGGAGCCGTCCAGAATTGGACATGGCCATCTCTGGTCCTGCAATGAAACCCAAACAGGCTTTGAGCAAACACCCAACAGTGCACAGACAGAAGGAAGCACAATCAACCCCAAATATCCTGAGCTTGCAGCAACCCCATGCACTCCCCATCCTGGAAAATCAGCTCATGCTCCCAGGCTGGTTTCCCTGGAGCCTCCCCCAGCAGATATACGCACCCTGTGGCAATGAAGCCGCCGTGAGGGAAGTACATGCAGCATAAACCATTTGTCATGGGAGCAAACGCCACTGGAGATCGCAGCTCCAGCGCCCAGATCCTCAGGAGCCTAAGGGGAGAAGGACACAATGCTAGGCAGTGCCTGCAGTTAAAATGAAGCCTCCGGGGCCACCTGAATGCACATAACGGGAGAAGGGTTTTCTGTCATGGACTTAGAGCCCCCCAACATGACATCTCAACAGCCAGGCAGAAGCACTGACCCCTGCAGAGTTGAGCTGAATGACAGACCAGCACACAGGTGCAAGTCCAAGTCCATTGCTCATGGAGGTGACGAGGCCCTGATCTTTCTGCTCCTTGCACAAACAGGGCTCTGAGCACAGTGGTTTCTTTGACACATGAATTTTGCTCCCCATTAGCATGCCCCAAGCCCCTGGTGCACATTGGTGTATCCTCCTCGAACCCTCTTTCCCTCTGGAAACCTCAAAAGGGGATTAACTCACCTGTCATCTGCCACCGTGGCCAGGTACAGGCCCTCTGGTGAGAAGCAGACTGACCGCAGGGAGCTGGTGTGGACATCACTGCTATACTCCAGTGCTGAGTGCAAGGGGACATGGCTGCAGGGAGGAAAACAAGCTCAGCATCAGCCCCAGGCCACGCTCAACCCCACCAAACTCTCATAGCGCCGCTATGTCCCCACTGCTTGGTCCCCACAGCCCCCAGCTCCATACCGCAGAGTCCTCAGCTGCTCCCCAGTGTAGGGGTCCCACATGATAACACAGGTGTCATACGAGGCAGTGACGAGGAGCGCTGAGTCTGGTGAGAAGTCACACGACACCACGCTGCTCTGGTGCCCCTCCAGCTTGCGGATGAGTGTGTAGGATCGCATACTCCACAGCAGTGCCTGTGAGGCACAGGAGAGCTGAAGCTGGGAGTGCTCCTAGGGTTGGCTCTCACCTTCCCCTTCTTGCATGGGGAGCGCACAGGGAACACAGAATTCAGTGGGACACAGGACTGGCTCCACCCTCAGGGACTCACCGACTTCTCTCCAGCAGCTGAGCAGAGCATGCTGCAGTCAGGTGAGATGGAGCAGCAATAGACCCACTGCACATGGCCTGTCAGCACCTGCACCTGCCGCCCTGGGATAGCAGACACAGAGTCAGGAAGGACAGAGCTGCACCCTGCCACAACTGCTCACCCAGCTCTACTCCTGAGAGGGAAATGGCATGCAGGGCTGGGGGGTTTCCTGCGCACATCCCAAGTGCTCTATTTCAGTACTGGAAAAGAGCTTATAGAAAAGATGGAGACTAACCTTCTACAAGGCAGAGAGCGATTAGAGGAGAGAGAATGGTTTTAAACTAAAAGGGGAGATTTAGGTGAGATGTCAGAAGGAAATTCATTACTCAGAGGGTGGCAGGATGCTGATCCAGGCTGTCCTAAGTGCTGTGGGTGTCCCATCCCCAGCGGTGCTCAAGGCCACAGATGGACCCTGATTTCGTGGGGGGCAGCCAGCCCAGGGCAGGGGCTGGAGGGGCTGTGAGGTCCCTTCCAACCCAACCATTCTAAGATTCTATTTACAATCCCTTCCTGCTGCTCTCAGGTCTTGCCTGGGAGCAGAGGCCTCGCTGTGTCCCACAATGCCCACTTCTACCTCAAATACAATCCCAGAGCCCCTTTCCTGCTGTCTCTCCTTCCAAGGTGGCTTGGTGCCCTCTCCTTGCCCACAGTGGAGTACAAGTTTCAGAAAGGGGTGACCGAGCACCAGGGCCACTCTCTCCTACCATCCCTGCTAAGGTCCCAGACACGCAGGGTCCTGTCCCGCGACGCCGACACCAGGATGAGGCTTCCATTGGGAGCAAAGCTCAGATCCCTGACGACATCCTGGTGCCCCAGAAGGCTGAAGAGAAGATGTCCTGCAGAGAGCAGCCACATCAGTCCCCCTCACACCCACCCTCTGCTTGGGATGGGGAGCAGCTCAGGAAATATTTGGGGAAGGACGGAGCAGAGATCTCCACCCAAAGGCAGAATGCTCCTTGACCTCACCCCAGTGCCGCACAACCGCTCACCTGTCTGCACCTCCCACACCTTGATCTGCCCATCGTTGAGGCCGGTGGCCAACACCTGGCAGCACAGCCCTGCTGCCCCATCAGGGTGCCGTGCCGCCGGCCAGGCGCTGAAGGCCAGGCCCCACACAATCTGGCCACACTCCAGCGTCTTCTCCTTGGCTCCCGCCCGGCTCCGTTTCGCCTCTGCTTTGTGGCTCTTGCGTTCCGAGGCCCTACAGCTGCAGGGAAACGGCAGAACGGCAATGGGCCAAGGGCACGGAGGCCGTCAGCTCACACCCGCAGCACCGCCCGCACTACTCACAGCTCAGCCTCCTGCAGCGGCCACGGGATCAGCTTGACCAGGCAGTGTCCCTGCGACCAGGCGAACCAGGCGCCGTCGGACGAGAAGGCCACGCTCCACGTCTCACAGCTCGACTTCCAGTCGTACTGCTGGGGCCGGCCTGGCTTCAGCTCCGCCAGCAGCACGGGCTCCTCTGGGCAGAGGGACAGCGGGTCACCAGCGGGCTCGGGCCTGAACCGGGCCTGGGCCTCACCTGGGCCTCACCTGGGCCTGGGCCTCACCTGGGCCTGGGTCTCGCCTGAGCCGGGCCTGGGCCGGGCCTCACCTGGGCCTGGGCCTCACCTGGGCCTGAACCGGGCCTGGGCCTCACCTGGGCCGGGCCTGAACCGGGCCTCACCTGGGCCTGGGTCTCGCCTGAGCCGGGCCTGGGCTCGTGCCCACCCCCGCCCCAGCCCGCCCGCTCCGCCTGCCCGCAAGGCCTCACCTGCGCTCGGCTTCATGGCGGCCCGCCCGCCCCGGGGAGGCCTGCGGGGCTGGGCGCGGCCTCCCCGGCCCTCGGAGGCACCGGGCCGCACCGAGCCCCGCCGCCCGCCTCCGCCTCCCTCCGCCGGGCCCGCCCCGTGCGGGGCGGGGGCTGCGATACGGAGCGGCCGCCGCCGTGGCCCGGCGTTCCGTCACCGCCCCCCGCGGGGTGGGCCTCGGAGCCGCGCCCGGGACGGGTCGGACGGCAAACACGGGGTGGGCCGGAGGCGGTGCTCGCTTGGGGTGGCGCCCCGGGGCACGGCGTGGTGGTGGCACTCGTGGAGCCAGCGCCTACGAAGTGACAGCCGTGGCAGTGTGAAGACGCAGCGGCCATAGGGGGCACTCCGTGGCGGTGGCACTGAGGACCCGACATCCATATGGGGACACCTTCTGACAGTGCCACCCCATGGCACAGCCCCCGGCAGTGCCGTGCTGGGACGCATCTTCTATATATGGGGACACCCCTGGCAGTGCCAGGCTGGGAACCCAGCACCCAAAACTGACACTCCCTGGCTGTGTCCTTTCAGTGACCCAGTGCCTATAACGCAATACTCTCTGGCACTGTCCTCACTGTTGTGGGGACACAATACCCACGTGGGGACAGTCCTGGCAGTGCCACGCTGCCCATAGGGGAACACCCCCAGCAGTGACACCCCAGGGACCCAGTGCCCATCTGAGCCATCCCCGTGGCAGCAGCACCCATACAGAGACACCCAGTGCCACTGCAGGTACCCAGCACCCCGATGGGCACAGCCCCTGGCAGTGCCATCCCAGGACCCCCATGTGGGACATTTCTTGGCTGTGCCACCCGGTTATCCAGTGCCTGCAAAGTGCCGCTCCCTGCCATGCCACCTTGGTGACACAGAGCCCATCTGGGGACCCAGCACCCACAAAGTGACACCTCCTGCCAGTGCCGTGCTGCAGACACAGCACCCATATGGTGACACCCCGTGGTGGTGGCACTCTGGGGACCCGATGCCCACATGGTGCCACCCACCTGCCAACACCTCCCGTGAGTCACTCACAGGAGACATCTGCTAATGCCCAGAATTATCCACCAAGTGCCCCCCCCCCCCCCCCCCCAGCATGGCACAAAGCAGAGGGGACAGCATACAGAGCCCCTCACACCACCTCCATCCTCCCCCAGATCAAGGTCCCCCAACACAGCTGCACTGGTGCAGACAGACAGACAGAGAAGGAGGATACACCTGCCACCCCCCCAGCTTGGGGACAGTCCCACTGCCACCCGGCTGTGACGGGACAGAAGCCATCCCCGGGAGGGGGGGAGGGGGGGGGGGACACTCAAAGGGCGACAGGTGCTCTGTGAGAGCGTTGTGCCTCAGTTTCCCTATAGCAGGGCACGAGTTCCAGGCATAGCTTTACCTCCCCTGGCAGCAATGAGCTCCCGGTGGGTGTGAGCCCCACGCTGCAGGGTTTTGGCCACCGTGGGCACAGGGCCAGCCCACCCAGCTCGCCTGCTGCCGTGTGCCCGCGCACTCCAGCACAGAGAAAAACAAACCCAGAAGCAGCAAAGGAAGGAGTGGCAGAGGGACGCGGCAAGGAGGAGGAGGAGGAGGAAGAAAAAAGAAGCAGGGCCTCTCAGCCCCTCCGGAGTTGTGGGCTGCCCCATCAACCCCCCGCCCCCCCCCCCCCCCCCCCCCCCCCCCCCCCCCCCCCCCCCGCCTATTTCGCTGCCATGGCCAAAAGCACCTCGCTGTACTGCCGGCTGGTGGAGGGGAAGGAGCTGCCTGCCAAGGACGTGTGAGTGCTGCTGGGGATCTCTGCCCCCCACCCAGGGGGCATGGGGCACTGGGGGGGTGCTGCTCTCTACCCATGGTTTGGGGGCTTCCTGCCTTCAGCCCTGCTGGTTGCGGCTCATTTCACTCAGGAGGGGGTCTGCTGATGGGTGGGGGTCCCTTTTGCAAGAAGCCCTGCACCCCTGGGACACCCCCTCACTGCCCCCCCCAGCAACCCACATAGCTTTTGGGATGACTCCATATAGCAGGGTCCCATATGGGACTGCCCTATCCGGGGGCTGCAGCACCTATCCTGGGGCCCCACAGCTGGCAGAGCATCCCTTGGAGGGGGGAGGGGGTTCCAGCATCACACCCAGCCCCCAGGAAGACACTGAGCACCCCTTGGGTGCATCGTTGGTGAGCCAATGCCCAGCCCTCACCCTGGGGAACCAGCTCTTCTTTTCTACCTTGCTGCAAGGGGTTAAGCCCAGGCAGAGGCTGGTGTCACCGTGTCACCATGTCACCATGACACCTTTCCAGCCCCACGCCCTGACACAGGGAAGTGGGTTGCTACAGAAACTCGGGCATGGCTGCGCAGCTGGCACAGACACCCAGGGACATGCGGATGCATGGTTGAGGTGACCCCAGCTCAAAAGGTGCCAGGAAAAGATGTCCCCAAGCAGGGCAACCAGCTGAGACTGAGCAGCTCAGCGCACCTGTGGCCATGGGTCTTGTGGCCAATGCCCTGGTGAGCCCTTGGGGTGCTCACCTCAGGGAACACCATGGGCTGCTGACCCCCCCGTGTCCCCTTTCTCCCCTAGCTCTGGCTCCAGCGATCCCTACTGCGTGGTCAAGGTGGACAATGAGGTGGTGGCCAGGTAGGTGATCATGCCACCATGGGAAGGGGACACAGGGTCCAGATGGAGTGCCCATGGAGGTCCTCTGCCCACAGAACAGCCACAGTGTGGAGAAGCCTGAACCCATTTTGGGGCGAGGAGTTCACCCTGCGCCTGCCCAGTGGCTTCCACAGCCTCACCATCTATGTGCTGGATGAAGACACCATCGGGTAGGGGGCAACAGGGCTGGTGGCAGCGGGTGGGCAGTGGGGTCAAGACCACTCTGGGGTGGCCGTCCCCATTGGTGTCACCCTGCAGGCATGATGATGTGATCGGCAAAGTGTCACTGAGCCGTCAGCAGATCTCAGCACAGCTGCGGGGTGAGCAGGGGCACGGGAAGTATGGGGGGCATAGGGCTCATCACCGTGCTGGGGGTGCCCACCCCGTGCCCCCTTTCTTAGGCATTGACAGCTGGCTCAGCCTGGTGCCTGTGCACCCTGACCAGGAGGTGCAGGGTGAGATCCACCTGGAAGTGAAGATGCCCGAGCAGGGCCACCCACGGATGCTGCGCTGCCACCTCATTGCAGCCAGGTAGGGGTTGTCACCACCAGGGTTTGTGTTTGGGTCAGTGGAGTTGGCTGGGTGGTAGGGGGGTCAGGGCTGCCAAGAATCGTCATCACTGTGTCCTGCTCAGGGACATTGCTGCTTGCAGCCATGTGTCACGATGCTGTGGGGTCTCAGCAGCTGTGCCACACTGCTCGGGCACTGCCAACCCTGATGGGAGCCAGGCTGGGGACTGGAGGCCAAGGACTGTGCTGTTCCTGGGGATATTCCCAAGGGGCAGACAAGATTTCATATGACGTTTCTCCCCATTCATTTTAAAACTGGGGAAACTGAGGCAGCCACATTGCCTTTGGAGGAGGTTGGGATGGGGCTGCTCTATGTAAGCATATGTGTGCCCATGTGTGCATGCATGTGTGTGCACACGTGTGTGTGTTTGTGTGCCCGCACGTGTGGCTGCCAGACCGGAGGCTGTTGGCAGAGCAGCATCCTGCTGCCATGGCGACCAAAGCAGCTGCCATGGCAACAGGATGGCCATGGGGACAGCCAGGAGGGACGGCAACGTCCCCACTGTGCCCTGTGTCCCCCAGGGACCAACTGCCAGCATCCCCTCCCTGGTGCCACCTGACACACAGACACCTCACTGCATCCATGATGACACAAGGGGACAGGGGACAGTGCCAAAGGGGCTGGGTACCCACGGCATCCCCCTGACCCCCATCCTCCCACAGGGACCTGGCCCCCCGGGACCCCTCTGGCACCTCAGACCCCTTCGTCCGAGTGTCGTGCTGCGGGCACACGCAGGAGACAACCGTGAGTCAGGGGTTGAGTGTCAAGGGTGGCACCTGGTGCCCAGAGACTGGGGCTCCATCCCCTGCTGCCACCCCCCTGTTCCCAGCAGGTGATTAAGAAGACCCGCTTCCCACACTGGGATGAGGTGCTGCAGTTTGAGCTGGCAGAAGACGAGCCAGGGGACAGCATGCTGAGTGTGGAGGTGTGGGACTGGGACATCGTGGGCAAGAATGACTTCCTGGGACAGGTGAGAGCTGGATACATGTGGGGATGGGTGATGCTCTGCGCCCCCCAGCTTAACCCCTGCCTGCGTACCCCAGGTAAAGGTCCCCCTGGATGCATCGGGTCCCATGGAGGGCTGGTTCCAGCTCCTGCCCTTTCCCAGCAGCAGTGAGGAGCCAGGGTGAGTGCTGGGCAATGGAGGATGGAGAGTGACAGGGTGAGGAGCAGGGTGCAGTCATGCCTCCCCCATCACACTGTCACTTTAGGGGACAGCTGGGCTCCCTGCGGCTGACGGTGCGGCTGCTGGAGGACAGAGTCCTGCCCCAGCACTGCTACCAGCCCCTCATCCAGCTCCTGGCCGAGCCCCTCCGTTCCCCAGGCCAGGTGGGTTCTGTGGGCTGGGGACACACTTGTGCCACTTGTCCCCATGGTGTGTGACATCCCCATGCCCTCCCCACAGCCCGCAGCCAGCACAGCACTGGCTGTCCTGGAGGAGGTGACCTCAGGGGACAGCAGGCAGGATGTGGCCACCAAGCTAGTGAAGGTCTTCCTGGCTCAGGGTCTGGCTGTGCCCTTCCTGGACTATGTCATCACCCGTGAACTGACCAGAACCAGTAAGTGCTGGGGTCAGACCAGTAAATGCAGGGACTGGAGCATCTCCTGCGACCCTCAGCTGGGGAACTGGAAGGGAAACCTTGCTGAGGGCTGCCAGGGTGCCCCAAAGCCTGCTGTGAGGGCACCAAAGGGTTGGGCACTTTGTGGGGACAGCTGGGGCAACCCCATGGCTCATGGTGGACTCCCTCCCAGCGGACCCCAATACCCTTTTCCGCTCCAACTCCTTGGCCTCCAAGTCCGTGGAGCAGTTCTTGAAGGTGAGCCCAGGACGGGACATCACTCCAGCACCCTGCGATGGCTTCAGGACATGGCACAGTGCTGGGGACAGTGTGGGGACAGCAATGGTGACCTCCTGCCCCATGCAGGCAGTGGGGCTGCCCTACCTGCATGCAGTCCTGAAGCCGGTGGTGAACCGCATCTTCGAGGAGAAGAAGTACGTGGAACTGGACCCCTGCAAGATGGAGCTGAGTCGTGGCAGGTGAGTGTGGGGATGTGTCTCCATCTTGGTGTCACCCATGGGTCATCTCAGTGGTCACGAGCTGGTGCTGTCCCCACAGGAGGATCTCCTTCAAGGGGTCCCTGTCAGAAGCCCAGGTGCGAGAGAGCAGCCTAGAGCTGCTGCAGGGCTACCTGGGGGACATGGTGGATGCCATCGTGGGCTCGGTGGACAAGTGCCCCCTCCTGATGAGGGTGGCCTTCAAGCAGCTCCGCAGGCGGGTGGAGGAGCGCTTCCCCTCACCGCAGCACGAGGTGGGGGTCCCTGTGGGGCTGGGAGGGCAGCACAGTGCTGGGTGCTGAGCTCTGTCCTTGTGCAGGAGGTGCAGTACATTGCCATCAGTGGGTTCCTCTTCCTCCGCTTCTTCGCCCCTGCCGTCCTCACCCCGAAGCTCTTTGGCCTGAGGGAGCAGCATGCTGAGCCTCGCACTGGGCGCACTCTCTTGCTGCTCGCCAAGGTGCTCAGGGGAATGAGGACGTGGTGGGGGGACCTTGGGGAGGGAGGGGATTTGGTGCAGGGATGAGGCACCAAGGTGGGACAGAGACCTGAAGGAGGGATGTGGGCCCAAGGAGGGATAGGGATGCCACGGAAGGACAGGGACCATAGGGGAAATGGGGACACCAGAAGGGATGGAGACCCCAGTGTGGGTGGGGACCCCAGAGGGTCAGGGAAACCCTGGAGAGGGATGGGGCATCAGGGAGGAACTGGCATGGCCAGGAGGGATGGGGACCCAGGGAAGGGATAGAAATTCTGCAGGAGGATGAGGTACCAGGGAGGGATGGGACCCCAAAGAGGGACAGGGGCCTGAAGGATGGATGGAGGACCAAGGCAGGATGGGGTTGCCATGGAAGGACAGGGACCCTGGGGGGAGATGGAGAAAGGGATGGGGATCTTGGGGTATGATTGGGACCCTGGGAAGGGATGGGGCATCAAGAAGGGATGGGACCCCAAAGAGGGACAGAGACCTGAAGGAAGATGTGGGACCAAGGAGAGACAGGGATGCCATGGCAGGACAGTGATCATAGGGAGGGATGGGGAACACAGAAAGGATGTGGACACCAAAAGGGATGAAGACCTCAGAGGGGATGAGAATGCCAAGGTGGGAAGGGGACCCCAGTGATGCTGGAAGACTCTGGGAAGGGACAGGGATCTCAGAGGAGGACAGAGACCAAGGAAGGAACAAGGATCCCAAGAGGGGCAGAGCCTTTCCTCCCCCATGCCATGTGCTATGAGCTGGTTTGTTCCCACTGGGGATGAGTGCATTGAGTACAGCCAGGGTTGGCTCCCACCACCTGGCCCTGCTCTGTTTCCCCATTTTCCTCCCCAAATCCCACTCCCATGGGCAGGCGCTGCAGAGCATTGGCAACCTGGGACTGCAACCAGGCAAGGAGCCCTGGATGGCCCCACTGAACACCGTCCTGCTGCCCAGCATCACTCGTGTCAGAGCCTTCCTGGACAGCCTCATCGAGGTGGACAGCACGCAGGGTGAGCAGGCACAGTGGGCACCACAGAATCCCACCCCATCCTGGGGATATCTCCTGTATCCTAAGGGATGGGGTCCCCTTTGGAGCATCCTTGTGCTGTGGGTGATGGTGGCACCCCAAAGTGATGTCACTGTCCCCATGCCATGGCCACAGCCACAGCAGGTGAGAGGATGGTGTCAGTGGCACCTTTCAGTCCCTCGGCCACAATCAAGGAGGGTTTCCTGCACGCACGGGAGGCTGAGGAGCCCTCCCTGCTGCCCCGCTTCGCCTTCAAGAAGCGGTACTTCTGGCTCAGTGCCCAGGCTCTGTCCTACTCCAAGTCCCCCGAGTGCCAGGTAGGTGCTGCCCGTGGTCCCCCCACCCTGCTGCAGGGTGCCAAGCCATGGATATAGTGACATGCAGCATTCTGGGGTCTTCAGGAACACAGCTGCATCCCAGTGGGGCACATACGGGCTGTGGAGCGCGTGGATGAGGGCACGTTCCCGCAGCCCCACGTCATGCAGGTGGTGGCACAGGATGGCACCGGGCAGCTGCGCACCACCTACATCCAGTGTAAGGTGTGGACATCCCCATCCCAGCACCACTGGGAGCCCAACACTCCAGGCTGCCCCTGTCCAGTACCCCAGCACCCAGCAGCCACCCTGTGGGGGCAATGGGGGCAGCCCCAGTCCTAAGTCCTGCTGTACTGGGAACACTGGGGTATGAGATTTTAGTAGTACTGGGGTCACTGGGGTACCAGCTCCACCCATGCTGGGATCAGTAGGGTATGCAGCTATATCTGTAGTGGGGTTCACTGGGCTATCAGTTCTGGTTATACTGGGGTCACTAGGGTATCCAGTAATATCTGTAGTTGGATCACTGAGGGACCAGCCCTATATACACTAGGATCAATGGGTAGCACCCCTACCTATACTGGGTTAATGAGGTACCAGTACCCTGCCTGTACTGGGATCTACACTGGGGTCATTAGGGTACCAGCTCTGTCCATACTGGGGTCACTGGGGAACAGACCTGTCTGTACTGGGATCGATATTGGGTCACTGGAATACCAACCTTACCCATATTGGGGTCACTGTGATAGTAGCCTTGTTCCCAAGTGCCACCACCCCACCAACTCCCACCTGTGCCATCAAACTGCCCCTCAGGGTCCCCATGCCACCCTATGCCCACCCTGGGGATGCTGCATGTGGAAGCAAGGCCCGTCATGCTGCCCAACACGATGGATGCCAGCATCATGGGTGGGTACCACCTCTGTGTCCCCACAGAACGCACCAGAGCTGTGGCAGTGGCTGTGGGCTCTGCGCCAGGCCAGCAGTGCCAACGGGGCCATGCTGCCCACCTGCCACCCCGGCACCTTCCGTGCCGCCCGCTGGACCTGCTGCCTGCAGCCCACCCGTGCCGGTAATGGGGACAGAAGGGACACGAGGGGGTCCTCAATTGGTCCCCTCCACCCAACCCTGCTCTCCCCCATAGCTCCCGGCTGCAGCCGGACCCACAGCGCGGTGGCACTGGATGAGTGGACTGACCCCATGGACCCAGCAGCGGCGGCACAGAGCCTCTATGGGCACCTCCAGCGTGCAGGGACACGGCTGTGGTGAGGCTGTGTCCCGGGGGGCGGGGCACCCATAGGTGTCATCCCCCCCTGGGTGCACTCAGCATCTTCGTCCTGCAGGGAGGTGGTGGCAGAACCCGAGGGCAGCGTGGCAGTGCAGAGCCCGGAGCTGAAGCTTGGAGGTAGGAAGGCAGAGGGGAGGCATGGGGGGCCGGGCTGTGTGGGGTCAGCTGCATTGATGTGCACACACACAGATGCACACACAGGCACATGGACACGGGCTTTGCATGCACACTTGCACACATGTGCATACGCACACTTGCACACATGCACGCGCAGACTTGTTGCACATGCACAGTTGCACGCGTGCCCAGTATACATGCACAAGCATGCACATATGTGCACGCCCATGCACGCACACACACGCACATGCGAGCCGTGTTTTCTCCACCAGGGGACAGCAAACCCCCACGGCCGCACGCACACGAGGCCCCACCCCTCGGCTGCACTCACGCACGCTCCCAGCCGCGTGCACGCGAATGCACGCACGGATACACGCGTGGGTGCGCACAGCCACGCGCACGACCCATCCCTCCACTAAACAGGGCGTGTCAATGTCGGGGAGGAGAAGAGGTGGGAGGAGACACAACGGGGTGGGACGGCGAGGACAGTGGGTGTCACGAGTGGGTGCCGGGCGTCGCGGGTGGGAATGCTGACTGTGCGCGGCCGCAGGTGGAGCCGTCGCGGAGCGGCTGCGGGCGGTGCTGCGCGACCTGGATGCGGCCCACGAAGCCTTCGCCCGTGGTGACGGCGTCCCGAACCCTCCCACGGCCACGTGAAGAGAACTACAGCTCCCAGCATGCCTTGCGCCGCCAAAAGACCAGCCAGCGCCGCGCCGCAAAGCATTCTGGGAACTGTAGTCCGCGCCGCCCTCCTCTGCCCGCAGCGAGACGGGGCGGCGCAGGGGGGGCACCCGACGGACACGCGTGTGCGCACACTCACACAGACGTGTCCGTGCAGCGCTGCCACCTCTTGTGACCGCACACGGGCAACAGACCCCAGTGCAACCTCACCCAGCACCCTTCCCTAGCACGGCGCGGCACGGGGACACGAGTGGGTGACGCGGGGAAGCCGGGACGCTGCGGTGTATTCCGTAACACAGAGACGTACACATGGCACCGGCTGCACGCGGCTCCGTGGGGCACCGGGTGGGCGGAGAGGAAAGCACCGCGCTGCTGGAGGCCGGGCAGGGGACGGGGACACGCGGCGGGTGGCACCGGGGGATGAACCCACGCGGGGCCGGCGGCGAAGCAGCAGGGACGGTGACACGGGGCCGAGGGGACGGCGGGGAGCCCCTCACCGTGGGCTCAGTCCTTGAGGGTGGCCTCAGAGACGCCCTGCGCCAGCAGCTCGGCCAGGACGTTGTCCAGGTAGTTGGGATCGGGATAGCCGTGACCCGTCAGGTTGGAGCCGAATTCGGTCTTGTGGTGGATCTCGTTCCACACCACCGTGTCTGATTCGCCCGTGGTGTTGGAGGTGCCGATGGTGAAGATGAGCCGCCGGTCCCACGCCACGATCAGCAGCTTCAGCACCTGGGGGACGGCCACCGCTGCGTCCCACCCCGCGGCACGGCCACCCCGATGTCCCCACCCCGATGTCCCCATCCGTATGGCCACGTCCCCACCCGTGCCACCCCCGGGGACACGGAGTCGCTCACCTTCCTGCCCTTCTCGTTGTCAGGCAGGTAGCAGTGCCGGGGAAAGCCGCGTGCCGTGAACTTCTTGCCAGGGTTGGGGTGCTCTGGACCCTTTGGTGAGGACAGCAGAGGGGTGAGAGGGTGGCGTGGGGACACCCAGCCTCGGGGGGGGGCTGCGGGGGGCTCACCTGGATGCCGGTGGGGATGTCATAGACTATCCGGATGGTTTTGGAGTCAGTGTAGCCCGGGAGGGAATGGGGGATGAGGTGGAACTCCATCTTCCCAGGGGGCTGCGTGCCTGTCTTCTCCCCATAGATGGCCTTGCAGGTGGGGCACTGCAAGCTGCCGTCCTGCAGGGACAGCCAGGGTGGGCACTCAGCCCCTGCCATATGCCCGCAGACCCCGTGTCCACGTTGGCTCTCACCTTGTTGCCGTTGTTGTACATGGCCACGAGGCACAGCAGGTGGTACATGTGCCCACACTTGCCCAGCTTGCCCACCAGCTCCGGCTTGATGCCGCGGTGACTCAGGACGCCCTCGTAGCCCGAGGAGGTGACCAGCCGCTCCATGCAGATGGTGCAGTCCTGGGGGGACACGAGGGTCACCTCATGGGCGTCACACCAGGCTCTGTGCCCATCCCCTGCCCTCCCACCATGCCAGCTCACCTCATCCGGAGGGGTCTTCACCTTCTGGATGTAGCGACGCACCACATCCTCAGGGTTCTTGCCTGCCGTGGATAGGGGTGTCAGTCAGACAACCCCCCTGCCAACCCTCCCTGCCACCCCCTGCCTCTAGCATGGGGACAGTGGCAGAGAGGAGGTGGCACAGAGGAGCCATGGGCAGTGACATCACCTTAAAGCTTGGGTGGCACGCTGCATTTCAGGCCATCCCCCCAATATTTCAGGTCCCAACCCACAGCACCACTTTGCCTGTTTCCCCTCCAGCAGCTCCTTACTCCTTTTGAGGTGCTTCTTCTTGGTCTTCCTGCAGATTCCACTGACCCCAGGCACAGGCTTGATGTCACTCTTGCTGACAGGCGGCGGGTGCAGGATGGGCTTGGGTGCACGGGTCAGACAGACAGGCAGTCCAGCAGCACACATCAGGATGCCCGTCATCCCTGCACAGGGGGTGTCTGTCTGTCCCTTCCATCCCGGGCCCAACCCCTGAGCACCTATGGGTGCTCTTTATGCGACCCCCACCCATTACCTGCCAGGGCGGGATGGACAGGGCCGGTGCCATTCAGGTTCTTGACCGGGAGGGCTGGCACCCTGCAAGAGATAGGAGGAATGTCCCCTGGGTCCTGTCCTTTCTGCAGTGCATTAGGGCAGCCAGGAGTGCATCTGAGCAGGTGCCTGTACACCCATGCATGCATCCCCTCGGGTGTGCACCCATGTGTGCAAAGCTGCACGGCTACAGCTTGGTGTGAGATGTGGAGTCGTGGGAACACATAAGAAGGTGGCTGAGAACATAGAAGGGATGTGAGGAGAGTGGGGATGGTGGGGAATGGGTGGATGGACAGATGGATAGAGAGACAGAAGGACAGAGATGAATAAGTATGTGGATGGATGGATGGATGGATGGATGGATAAGTGGGTTGGTGGGTGGAAGAATGGATGGATGGATGGATGGATGGGTAGGTGAGTTGGTGGGTGAAAGAATGGATAGACAGATGGATGGTTGGATAGAGATGGTTGTGGGTGTGTAGACATGCAGAGAGCCCCCACATCCCTGTTCACAACCCAGCAGCCATAACACAGACAGGAGATCCCAACCCCAAGGAAGGGTCCGTTGCACGGAGACCCTTCCTGTCCCCACAACACCCCCAAGCCATGCCACAACCCAGCCTTGCCTCTACCTTCAGGCCCTGCCCGCAGTTCCCAAGACCACCCTCAGCCACACCAAGGCCACATGAGGCAGTGGGGCCCTCACCCCTCCAGCCCCCTCCTACCTGTTCATGTGGACGCACAGCACGGGGGCTGCGTGTCGACACGAGGATGGCTTGGCCCAGGACAAGGAAGCGAAAGCAGCACATCAACAGAGGAAGGAAACACGCCGAGTGCTTGGTGACCCTGCATGCCCCCCCTCTCACCAACTCAGTCACCCCTGTCCTCAGCTCTGTCTGGCTGTGGGCTGTGGCTGCGGGCAGTGGGAGGGACGCAGAGGTATGTCCCCACATTGCGTGATGCTCCCTGTGCCCCTGCTACCCCTGACCCACAGGTGTTCCTGCAGCACACACCCTGAAGCGGAGATGACACTGTCAGGATGTCACCACCACCACCCAGTTGTGCCCCACTGCATCTCCCAACACAAGGCCAGATCCTTCCTGCAGGGCAGGATGCCACAACAGCTCCCTGTAGGGACCTGCCTGTACTGCCTGGTACTGGAACAAACACTCTGGAATGATCCACCCCATGCAGGACAACAGGAACACAAGTCCCCCACTGACTGGCACCTCATCTCCTCCATCCAGCATGTCATGGTGTGGACTGGCACAACCAGGCACAGTGTGGCATGGCACGGAGCTACACGGCACAACACAGGAGTGCAGCATGGCGCAGCACGGCACGACTATGGTGGTGGTGACACAGTGCCAGCACCAATGAGGTGACAGTTGGTGCTGCCAAGCAATCTGACTGCACTTCCATGCCACCTCCCCACCACCGTAAGCCCACCCCGTGCCACCTCAGCATCACCACGTGCATCCTCATCCCAGCTTACCCGGGGGGCACTGCGGTGCGGGCGCTACTGCCAGCCCCCCGCTGCGTGCCGGGCCGGTTGAGGTTATTGAGGCCAGGCAGCTGCACGGTGCTGGGCGTGCTCTGGCTGCACCCAAAAGCCCCAGCAGGCACCCTGGGTGCCTCCCCTTTGGCCGTGCCACCCGCCGATGGCCACAACGTCGCACCGGCAAAGGTGCTGCTCTGCCGCACCGGCACCGTCCCCGTGCCGGCGTACAGCTTGCGGCGCTGCGAGGCCAGGATGGCGTTGGATGCCGCGCGGGTGCTGTTGACCAGGAGGCACTGATGGCACGAGCAGGGCTGCCCCGTGCTGCTGCCCACCGGCCACGACTGCGACTTGGGGATGGAGCCCATGGTCAGAGGGTACGCCAAGTCCATGCGGCGCCGCAGCCGGCGCCGGCGCTGCGTCTGCCGATTCATCTGCGACATGCTGCTGAAGTAGATGAGGTAGCAGAAGCCCAGGGAGGAGAGGTCCAGCCAGGGGTGCTGCTTCTCGTAGGCGTTCTGGATGGTGATGCAGATGTCCATGTCGTAGGGCGTCCACGAGCTGTTGTCGTTCTCCCATTCCCACACGATGCCCTTTCCCGGAGCTGAGGAGGGGTCGTAGAAGTTCCTGCGCACCGGGCGCATGGTGCCTGCGGGGACACGGCGCTCAGCACCCAATCACTGTTGCCATACCCCGGACAGAGCCCCCCCCCGCAGCGGCTCACCCCCGCCATCCTGCCCCTCTCCTTGCTAAGCCACGCTCAGCTGCGCTCTCATCCCCGGCCGGCTGCACTGCCTGGCCCTATTAACGACTCTAATAAGGGTCATTAATCACCGCCCGGCCCACCTGCCGCCGGGTGCTGAGGCAGCGCTGCCTGCAGCCCCATGGGGTCCGTGCCCCCGCCGCAGCCCAGCAAGTCCTCACCTGAGTCAGCTGCACGCTCACATCCCCCATCCTGCTCAAGTCCTGTATCCCACTACCTGCTTGTGTCCACACCCCAAACTCCACTGCTGGCTCACAGCCATGCGCTGCTCACATCCGTGTCCTGCATTCTGCTGCCCACTGCTGTCAACATCCCAAATCCCACTGCTATCTTGTGTCTACATCCCAACTCTCACTGCCCAATCCCAACCACATCCCACTCACATCCATGTCCTGCACCACACCCCACCTCCCCACATCTCTTTGTACCCAGTCCACCATACCCACACCCCATTCATACCAATGTCCTGCGCCTCCCATCCTGCTCACATCCACATCCCAGCCCCACTGGTGCCAGCATCCCCCCCCAGGTGTGTGCACATCCTGCAGGCACACCTCCTGGCTGCTCAGAACAGGGTCACCTCATTTCACATACACCCCACCACATCCCAAGCCCACCCCACCACGGGCACACGTTCCCAGCAGGACCCAGCACCATTCAGGCCAGGGAATGGGACATTTAGGGACCTCGCAGGTGAGCATTTCTCATCAGGGAGTCCTGCATCATTCCCATCCATCCCCCATCCTGAGTGAGTCTCCTGGGGTGCAGCTGGCACACATCATTTTAGTGGGTCATGGTTAATAGGGTCTGGGCTGGGAGGCAGTTTGGGACAGGGCTTGATTTCCCTCGAGGACACCTGTCCTGGTTGTGTGCTGCAGCCCTGCTCTGTTAAGGGGTGGCATGTGGCCCCTGCAGACCCCAAAGTGGGGCCACCCGGTTCCCTTTGTCCTAACAGGACAACAGGAGGGAAGGAAAAGGAAGGGCAAGAGGAGACTTGTGGGGGCTGCATTGGGGTGAGGACAGACAGAAGTGAACAGACTGACAGGTGGGGAAGAGGGTGAGCCGAAAGAGACAAATGGATGGAGGGAGGGATGGAGGAATGGATGGAGGAGAAATGGATGGGTGGAGGGATGCATGGATGGAATGATGGATGGAGGGACAGGCTGATGAACTGACTGGTGACTGGTTGGATGGAATGACAAATATACACGGGGATGGATACCTTGATGGATACATGAACAGAATGACAAGGAAGTAAAGATACACCGGGATGGAAGGATGGATGGATGAATGACAATTACTCATTAGGATGGGTGGATTGATGGGTATTAGAAGTAGAATGACACACAGCAGATATATGCACACTGTGATGGACAGATGGGTGGGTGGGTGGATGGATGGATGGATAGATGGATGGATGGAGGGATGGATGGATGGATGGACGGATGGAGGGATGGATGGATGGAGGGATGGATACATGGGACAAAGGAAGGGAGTAACAAAGGAATAAAGCAATGAAGCAAGGACACAGGAAGGAAGGAACGATACAAAGACACAGAGCCATGCCATGGAATGGCTGATGGATGGGCAGAGGAACAAATGACTGCAGAAGAAGGAAGAGCAGTGCTGAAGGCCCTCCAACAAAGGCTCACAGAAGGTGCAGACATACTCATCCCAGTCACTCCACCCCCAGTAGACCCCTGGCCAGTCGTGTGCCCACCGAGCCCCCTGCCCTTACCCGTGTCCTGCCGGAACTGGTGCATGGACTGCAGGTCGATGATGTAGGGTGCCAGCTGCACGTCCACCTGGCCCAACACCACGCTGCCACGGGCATCCTCCTTCAGCACGTTCTCAATGTGGTGGCAGACAGCGGCTGAGTAGGGCCGCCAGCGCCCGTGCTCGTTCAGCCACTCCCAGACCACCACACGGGCCAGGTTTTGGGGTGGGAACCCCAAAGTCCCAGAGCCCAGAAGGGCCCCCGTGCCCTGCCGTGCCATGGCTGGGGACAGCGGCTCAGCACCGTGCCATGGCCAAGGGACAGACGGCTTGGTGGCACCCGCGGGGGTGGAACGTCTTTGTCCCCACTGCAGAGCTCAGCAGGGGTGGGAGGTGGCACCCAGAGCCCCGTGGCACCCGGTTCTGCTCCACCGGGGCCACCACCAGGGCAGGCTGGGGTGAGCCATCACTTGGCACCGGGCACCGGGCTCTGCATGGGTGGCGTTGAGCTGGAGCTGGAGCTGCCGTCCTCCCTGCAGCGCTGGCACATCTCAATGTCCCCAGGCTCAGCTCCCCCAGACACCCCCTCCTCTTCTTTCCCCTTCTGTCCCAGCCGATGTCACCGGTTGCTCCAAGGCTCCCAGGGTGTCACCTGCAAAGCAGGGCCACAGCACCGCTCAGTTGCAGTCAAGGTGGCTCTGAGTGCTGCCAAGAACTGCTGCATCCCTGCCCTCCCTGGTGGCACCTTGGGGACCGTCCCTATCGCCCCGTGTGCCCACAGCCAGACAGCAGCATGGCGGGCTGCCAGCCTCAGGTGTGACAGCAGAGAGGGGGACAGCAGGGACAAGCAGCGTGGGGACAATTGTTCTCAAGGGCTTGAGGGGGGGCTCAAAAAACCGAGAAGCCCCACAGAAGCCGGCTGTGTGCCCGGGAGCCCGCGGCCCTCCTGCTCATCCGGCACTGATTTATGATCTGCACTGCAGGCATCAGGATGGGGTCAGCCTGGGCGGCGTGCCCTGGGCCCCCCACGCACCCCAGGCAGCTCCTTGCCCACCAACACAGCCACACAGCCCCCTTGCATGGGGTGGGGAGGGTTAGGCTGCATGGACAGACAGCAAGATACGGACAGACAGACAGACACAGAGCCATGCGCTGGCACCGGGGACACAAACAGCACGGGGACCTGCGCAGACGGATGGACAGACAGACATACACACGTAGGGCCACACAGCAGCGTGACAACAAACAGTCGTAGACACACACACACACACACACACACACACACACACACACACACAGATACACACAGGCGTGTGCATCCGTGCACTCGCCCGGCACCCCCAGCACCGCAGCAACCAGAGGGGCCCAAACCTCGGGGACAAAACCCAGTGCCAGCCCCCTCCCCATTCCGCTCCCCCCTTCGGTCCCCCGTCCATCTCACTGCATACGAAGTCAGGCCCATCCCCCGGTGCCCCCGGCACACCGTACCCCCGCTGCACGATATTCCACTCCACGACAGCCCCCAGCGCGGACCCCCCCCCGCCGCACGGTGTCCCCCCGCCCTCCCCGGCGCACGAAATTCCAGCCACAAGATTCCCTCCGCGCGGTACCCGCGGTGCGCGGTGCCCCTCCCGTGTGCGCGGTACCCCCGGTGCCCGCCGCCCCCCGGTGCCCGCCGCCTCCCCCCCCCTCCTCCCTTCCCCACCATGGCCGCCGCCGCCCCGCATCGCCCCCGCCCCGCTCCGCTACCTCCGGCGGCCGCAGCCGCAGCGGCCCCGCAGCAACGGCGGCACCGGGAGCGGCGGCGGAGGGCGGCGGGCGCGGGGCCGGGAGGCGGCAGCGCTCCGCCAGCGCCTGGCAGCCACGGGCACGCGGGGACGCGGGGACGCGCGGCGGGGACGCGCGGCGGGGGGGATGCGGGCGCACGCTGAGACCTCAGCCGGGGGCTCCCACGCGAGAGGCGGCCACGCGTGCACTCTGGTGGACTCGGGCACGGCATCGCTTCTCCCCCCTCGAGGATCTCCCGTGGGACCGGCAGAGTGGGGAGAGTCGCCGAGCGCGGCGGTTCTGGTGCCGGTCCTTCGTGGGGTCGAGGCGTGGGGATGTGGGGTAGGGACGTGGAGTGGGGGTGTGAAAATGGAGCTGAGACGTGGCGTGGGGACGTGCTGCTGGGATGTGAGTTGGGAACATGGAGATGGGGCGGGACGTGGGGGCATGGAGATGGGATATGGCATGGGGATGTTGAGCTGGGACACGGCATGGGGACATGGAGCTGGGGTGTGACATGGGGACGTGGAGCAGCTAGAACAGGAATATGGCATGGGGATGTGAGGTTGGAGAAGGGCATGGGGGCGTGAGGTTGGGACAGGAACATGGGTGGTGTTGAGCTCAGATATGGCATGAGGATGTGGAACAGGACGTGGCTTGGAGACATGGAGCTGTGGTGCAACATGAGGACGTGAAGCTTGGACATGGCGTGGAGATGTTGAGCTGGGACATGGCATGAGGACATGGAGCTGGGACAGGAACATGGCAGGGGGACATGGAGATGGGATGTGGCATGGGGACGTGGAACTAAGATAGGAATATGACATGGGGACATGAAGCTGGGACATGTATGGGGGTATAGAGCAGGGACAAGGGCACTGGGACCTGAAGTCAGAGCAGGGATCTGGACATGGGACATGGCATGGAGACACAGATGTGGGATGGGAACATGGCATGGGGAGCTAGAGCCAGGCCAGGGAGCAGGGCTGCCTGGGGCTGGGGGGGCAGGGACATGGGGAGACCATGCTCCATACTACAAAGGGGCCAGGACTCCCTACTGCCTCAAGGAGGACACGTCCCCTCTGCACGCACACATACATGTGTGCACACACGCATGTGCAAACGCGTGCAACTACAACTTCATGCACATATGTGCACGCCCACGCACACACATGCATACACATACATGCACATAGATGCACGCACATACACATGCACACATACATGCACATATGCATGCGCATCCATACGCACACTCACACACGCTCACATGCACACTGCCTGCAGGACCCCACACCCACACCCCCCCGCCCCCAGCAGGGACCACCCGCACACATTTGCTCTTTGCACGCCGCCAGCACGCAGACCACACGCACATTATTTGCAAACAGCAGCCGGAAGGACAAGCAGAGCAGCACAAACACTCGGATGCACACAGCCCAGGGTAGCATACGCACACTGCTACCTGCATGCAAACACCGCCGAGTGCACAGGCACGTGTGCACGTGTGAACACACGTGGAAGCCTATGGCACCCCGAGGTGCCATCCCTGATGGATGGGCACGGGGAGGTGTGCATAGGGACATGGGGACAGGCACAAATGCACACACAAAACAGCAGACATGCAAAAACACGAGCACATGCGCACATATATGTATACATACATGTGTGCACACACGTGTGTGCACCCCACAGTGAGAACCACGAAGCTGTTCCCACCCAGGGACACCCCCACAAACACTGTATGGGGTTGAGGGCCTCCTCCTGCCCTACAGCTGCCCCCACTGCTCTGACACCCCAAAACCACCACTGCCCAACCCATGACAGCCCCTAATCTGTGACACCCCCAATGCATGACATCTCTTCGATCCATGTCCCCCATATCCACATCCCCCCATCTATGCCCCCATATCCATGTCCTCCCATCAATATCCCCCATAACCATGTCCCCAGTATGTGTCCCCCATAACCATGTCCCCCATATCCATGCTCCCATATCCATGTCCTCCAGTCATATCCTCCCATCCATGCCCTCCATATCCCTGTTCCCTATATCCATGTCCCCACCCATGTCCCCCCACCCATGCCTCCATATCCATGTTTCCATACTTATGTCTCTCCATAACCATGTCCCCATACGTGTACACCCATCCATATCCCCCATATCCATGTCCCCCCTACCCATGCCTCCCTATCCCCATATCCTTGTCCTTCCATATCCATGTCCCCCATATCGATGCACCCCATATCCATGCTCCCATATCCATGTCCCCCTTATTTATGTCCCCATCCATATCCCCTCATCCATGTCCCCCATACCCATGCCCCCATATCCGTGTTTCCTCATCCATATGTCTCCAATCCATGTACCCCATATCCATGTCCCCATCCATGTCTCCGTATCCATGGCCCCCACATCCACGTTCCCCCATCTCTATCCCCCATATCCATGCTCCCATATCCATATCCTCCCATCCATATCCCCCATATCCACGTCCCCAGTATGTGCCCCCCATAACCATTTGCCCCATACCCACGCTCCCATATCCACGGCCCCTTTATCTATGTCCCCCCATCCATATTTCCCCATTCCCATTCTGCCCCCCGACCCCCCAGGAGCCGCCCCCCACATCGCTCTCCCTCCGAGGCGGAAGGCAGCGGGGTGTGTGTGCGTGT